CCCGCTCCGCAGGGGAGACGCGCCCGACCGCCCCCCTCCCCCGGGACTCACCGGCCCCGCCGACGACAAGGCCTCCACCCCCTGCCCTGCCGTCGCTACGTCAACCGGCGCGCTGACGTCACTTAGCAACAGCGGCCGTCCTCCTGCGTGCTGACGTAAGCAGGCACACAGGGGAAGGGCGCCGGTACCGGCTCCCTTCAGCCTCCGGCCTTCCCTTCGCGCGGCGCCGGGTTTCCTCTTCCGGCCATAAGGCGGAGGCAGCCGGTAGCGGCGCGACCCCCGCGGGGCCGGGAAAGAGTGCCTGGGACTTGGCCCCCGCTCGGGGGGGCCGCGGGGCCTGGCGCGGGCGGTAGGGACAGCACGGGGGAAGCTTCTTAACGCGAGGGTTACGATAGGGGAACTCCAGGTCTGGCTGCGCGGGAGCTTCATGGCCGCTGCCAACCTGCCGGCAGGTGCCAGCGCTTGTCAGAAACCGGGCAGTTGTTCAGGCAAGCGGGGCGCGTTAATGCCCAGCCCGTATGAAATGGCAACTGCCGCCCAACCTTCCCTGTCCTTCTCATCTGCTGTTATTCGGCCACATTCGAAATAGACGTTTCCTTTGCTGAAGAGTAGCGGTGTGCTTGCCAGTCGGTGGTGTCTGACCAGATACTTTCCAGACTACTGGGAACTTCTTCCTGTCGAAGACAGGCTTGTCTCAATCTCACCATAAGATTCATTTCTACTCTACTGTATGAAGCTAAATTTAGGCCCTCCAAGTTGGAAAGCGCTACATGTTTATTTAATGCTATGCTTTATTTAGCAGAAAATGTGTTACCTTGGAAGAAATAAAAAATGGCATTGTCTGTAATCAGAACATGAAATAATTTCAAGTTTTAACATCCAAAATCTTTAACATATGTTGCAAGCTAAAAGAATCATCACTGCTTTTCTTCAAGAGTTTATTCTTGTATTTCATAAGAGAGTACTGGTTTTAATTAGTTCTCAATATGGCAAGCAGCAGTAGGGGTTTTTTTTTAAAAAAAAAAACCACAAACCAACCAAACCTTGCCCACTTGATGATACTGCTGTAACTAACTTGTAGATTCCAGTGGTTTTTTACTATTTTCCTCTTTGCTACCTCATCATCTCTCACCTTGTCTATACATTGTCAAGCACATAAAAAACAGAGGTAATCCCAAAATTAGCAAACATGCTTAGAGTAACTTTTGAGTACTAAGCACAAAACCTTCTGCATAGCCTGCTCCTCCTCATGTAGCTATCCACTGAACTCCACAGGCACACCCTTTGCCTTACTCATCTGATTTACTAACTACCCCTGTTTTATTTACTGGATTCCATACAATTGGGTCAATAGCTCTTCCAGTCACACCTGTACTTTGAAGTGTAGTGAAACAAGTCTGAATGAAACACTGTATGTTGATAATGAACCACCAAGTTACAAGCTTGTAAAATTTTGATCCTTTGCTTGACAACACCTTGGTCATAAAGCTTTAGATGATTTATCTGTATTGACTGAAATAAAACTTTGTTTTAGACAACTTCACTTAGACTACTATTAGTCAAAATAATTTTTCTACTCACATAATCTAATGAGAGATTCTGAATGGTAAGGACCTGCAGATAGCACTTGTGCTTGAGTTGAGTTTTACTTCATTTTAAGTTCCTGTTTCAGAACACCAGCAGCAGAAGGATGTATATGAAAAACAGTTTAGCGATCACAACCTATATAAACTGCAATCCACTGAGTGCTTTGTTTCATTGCTGTAGCTCTCATGCTTCTCGGCACTACTCATTCTAACTTCAGAAGATACCATACTACAGTTACACTACAATAGTCTTCAAACTGAGTCGTCTTAATTGCTGCTGTCAGGTATTCTGCAAAGTTGTGTACTTTCTTTAAAGAAGGATGAAGTATCATGAGTCAGCTTGAGCCAATCTAACTTTCTGCTAAAATGAACAGCTTTATTTACTCATTCAGGAAATAAGAGCCTTGAGCTGGGTCCTCATTTCTGCTTAATAAACCTGACATAAAGCTAATCCAGCATGCAAGAAAATCTTTGCCACCTAATATATTAAGGTGAATTAGCCTGCTTGAGGCAGGGGGTGCAAAGTCAAAAGCTCCCTATCTGGGAGGAAAAAGACAGAGATCATGTGGTGACAGCTATTAAGACAGCTCACTTAAAGAGATCTTGCTCCAAACAGTGATTAACTATATTGTCCCTATCAAAATGACCTAACATACAGGAGAATAATCAACTGCACAAGGAGCAAGGCAGGGAACAGACTAGATATTAGTTCTGGAAGTACAGGAAGGCAAAAATAGAGAATGCAACTATGAACCAACAGTACTTATTGTTGCAGAAAAAAGGCAACTTGGCAAATATTCAAGCAGGGAAAGAATCTGTTGTATATGAATGACACTGATAAGGCCCCACCTAAACCACACTATCTGTACATAGAGACCAGCCAGAAAATACCATGCAAATGACAATTTAAAATATATGGGGTGCTTCATATAACAACAGAAAACTGAAAAAAAAAATTTATCTTTTTAGTTACTATGTCTGCCTTCCAATTAATTTATGATTGCTTGCACATCTGCAGGGGGTATTAAGCAGAGCAATAGTTTTCACATTCCTCTTTCCAACACTTAAAGCTCAGATGAAGCGTAGAATCTATTTTACTCCTTTCCAAGGTTAAACAAAATATCTTGGATTAAGTTTTAAGAATGATTTTTCATGTGGAGCTCTGTAAAATGGCTGAGTTTAGATATGCTATCTTGTTAAGATGGGGCAGATTTTTCAGGTAAGACAGGACAGCAACACAGCATTTAAGTCATTAACATCTACATTAGTATAGCAGAAATCAAATGCAGTACTTTCTACATTTCTGCTTTCACTTATAAGCCAGGGAGTTATTGACAGTTATTATTAACGCTGTACACTATCACTAAGTTACCAAAACATCCTGCTAATCAAGTCACACAGTTAACCTTCTTCACTACAGCACTCCCAATTCATGTTCTTTTATCACCAGATTTCTTTTCAAAAAAGAATCCACAAACCAAAACAAATATCCTTTCAGTTATCTAGGATTCAACACTTAACAAAGCAACACATCATACTGCTTTAAAATTCTGTAGTTTGCGGCAGTGCTTTATTTGGAAGTGAACTGCAATGCCATTACACTATTCAACAGTCAAATAACTGAAGACTTAGCAGGAGTTGAGTGCTACTCAAAACACAGTAAGACAGGACAGAGGGTTTCTTTCTTATTGGAAGGAACAACGGGATTTCAAAACCTGACATAGTTTACACTGCTTGTAGCAGGTGGAAGAGCGTAAAATCAATCTGTGTAACATATGTAAACATGTTTTCCCACTCTTTACAGGTATCATTTCAGTAACCATCACTCATTCTGAGAGGGCTGATCAAACTGTCTACTGGTAGGAAATTGTTGCTACTCTTTCATTAATTTCCTAATGCAGAATGTACAGAGCATTTAAGTTAAATATAGCCCCAGACTTCCACTGAAATAAAAATTGTGAGCAAGTTCTTTTCAGTGTTGGAAGAGATGAGAAGGATCACTGTGAGTCAGCAACTATGAGACCTCTTACCTTGACTGTCAATCAGCAGCCAGAAGCTGAAAGACTGAATTCTTTCTGCTGGACCAATTTATTGCCTCCAGAAAGTTTCTTGTTCCAGGCAAGGTTGTTTAAGGCTACTCCTTGAAGAGTTTTGCCTGGCATAATATAAAATTAGGACTTTCATAAACATACTATTACTCAAGTCAAAGTTAATCTGAAATTTTATTTTCTAGTATACAAGATAGATCCTGAAGACTTCACACCCTTTTAACTTCACAAAAAAAATATTCTCAAGGGCTTTTTGTCCTCCTTGTTGAAGCACATCAGTAGTAACATAGGGTTTCTTTGTTGTTAGTTTGAAACAGAGTGAGATGTGTATCTTTTGATAGTGTTTCGTGAAATATTAGCATAATCAAGAGGAAAATCTGTGTAAGCGGTCTTCCAAAAAATGTTGAGTATTCCTAATCAGAAACAAATTGCACTGGTATCACAGGGCAAGAAAAAAGGAATTCATGTACACTGAGGTCCAAGGGGATAGTTTTAGAGGAGACTCTGAACACGACTGATTCCTCTCCATTAATCAAAAATTTAACAGTGTTATGGATTTTCTCCAGGGGGCTCAAAGTGGGCATCTATTATATAATATACTTCATTAGAACTAAGTGAGAGTCACCATGTGGTTAGGATTCAAAATTTCAATCCAGTAGCCATCAGGATCCTGGACAAATGCAAGTCCTTTCATTTTACCTATTAAGAAAAAAAATACAAGATAAAGTTAAGACTACATGGTTAGTTCTTAATGTCAAATATGACTTATTGGGAAAATATTTTTCCTTTTTTTTTCCTTCTGCATAAGAACTAGTTCTAACTTAGCTAATTCTGAAAACATCTAGGTTAGTTTTTAATCAGCATTAGATCTTTGCATGCTAAATTGTCAATCTTGCTCTCAACAAAGCTGTAGTTTAAAGTCACTTTCAAATTCTTTCTTCTGTTGATTGAGGTTTTCTGTATATACCCCTCTAAGTGTTCATCCTCTAAATTCAGAAAAATACTTTTGTGCTCCAGGATTTTTTAACATATGTTCTTCAGCTGGCTTTGCCAGTATAAAATCCTGCGTTTCTCTGTGCTGTTCATCTTCCATCATTCTTGCCTCCACACTGAAGATTTATGTTACTGGTTTTTGTTTGTGGTTTACAGTACACACTTGCATTACTTCATAAAACAGAGAAATGCAGGGCAGGAATATTTTAAGTTTTACTGTTGGAAAAAATATTACGTATTAAAACAAGGTCCCCAGAAGTTGTCTTCAACAGTAATTCAGAATAGCACAGCTTAACACGTTACCTTAAAGCATTAACCACACACTTTTAATTATAGTTGCTCTATTAAGCTATTTACTATAGCAGAATCAACCTAACTCTTAATATATTCTAGTTGCAAAAACTTCTGAGAAAATAGTAATGTTTGATTCAGTAATATAGGGAAAAGAAAAATAACATTAGGTGTCTCAGCATGCTCCACAAACAACGAATGTGAAGTTCAAAACTGCTTCCTCCTTTGTATTTGTGGCAGCAATTTTATTTAACATTGAAAACCAGCTTTTGCTCTCACTCTCTCTTGGCTGCTTCAAGAGTTCTTTCCTGTGACTTACTCCATTTAGTCTAAACTTCCCCTCCTACATACTTAGAGCTGTGCAGTGATACAGAATCAAAGTCAGTATCTCTCACTTCAACTCTCTGAGTTCAACAGGTGCTGAACAAATTAAAAAGAGCTCAGAAAATTTGGAGCACTAGAAATACAAAGGTCAATTCTTAAATCAAGAAATATGTTCAAGTTTTCAGCTACACTTCTTACATTTCCTTCAGCTGAGAACGCAGTGAATAAAATGAAAATAACTTAAGTCTCTTTTCAACTACTTGTTCTTATTCCTCTAGCAAGGAATCTAGAAGATCAATATCAATCCAAGTAAACTGAAGCTTCATGTACTAATGTTACTTTCAAACTAAAAAAAAAACCACATTGTTAGTACGAACAGGTCTAGTTTCTATAGCCAGAAGGAAGAATGTTGGAAGTGTGGGAAAAGCAAAACAGCAAAAAAATCTGCAAAGCACACATTTCCTTAACACATGGTGCCCAGAACAAACATAGGATGGGATGGAGAACAAGTGATTTGCATTGCCATGGCACCAAGGAGGAATGCAGAGGCAGGTGGAGGCCACGTGGTCCCGTTCTTCCACTTATCTTAAGGAACATTTGACATGACTATGCAGATTTATCTTCTGCTCTTCCCCTCCTCTCAAGAACCGTTTTGCAGTACTCTGCAGACCTTCTCTCTCACTCTTCCTCTTTTCCCACAAAAAAACAGCGCACACCTTCCACCAAGGAATGTGCTGTGTCATTACTCAAGAAACAATGGCTTGACCACAGTCCCACTCACTCACTCACACACATACATACTTAGATAAATACTACCCCGAGTTTGTATCTAGCTTGGGGGGATGATAATCCAATGCCAAATCGGAGGGAAAGATCGACGGGTTTGTGCTCCTCGCTTCCCCCCAAAAGGGACACCTACTGGTAAGATTTGGGCCCTCAGCTATACTGAGTGATTACCTGGGAATTAAGTGTGTGTCATTGCATTCGTTCTTTTTGTGTGTAGTGCTGTATAGCCAACCTGCAGTTTGTGCATTTATCATAGGCAGTCTTAAAGAATCTGTCCATGTTGCATAAGAATAAACTGTACTATTCAAGAACTTGGCTGCTTCTCTTGAATGCAACCTACAGCATAGGGGCTGTTCTTGCATCTGGTGTCAGGCCTATCGTTACGGCCATAACTGGCATACCTATTAAGAGATAAATCCAGGCACCCCTAGGCCCTCTAATCTCTGAGGGCCTGCTAGAACACATGGGGATTCATCTCTTACCAAATTAATTCATTATCTTAAATGGAGCGAAGAAGTATCACAGATTTGTATATGTTGCTGAGTATCAGATGTCAGTTTTGAAATGCATCGGTCCTAAAACTTTCATAAGGTCTATCCAGTTGAAAAATGTAAGGACTTCTCACTACTGACTTCTGCATTTTAGGCTATTTTGGCATGGAAATTTTTAATTTATATACCCTCTAGGCATTTGAACTATACATTATGTATTTTTCACCATAAGTCATACAAGTCAAATATGATATGGACTAATGAGGCTATTTCTACCAAAGCTGGCAGAACAGCTAAAATGGTAATGGCTAGTAGGTGGCATTAGGTGAATTTAAATAAAAATTGCCAGAAAAGCCAAGAATTGCTCAGTTTTAATGGCTGGGAGTAATTATGTCTTCTGAGTCACCTTATTTTCATATGATAAGAACCAAACATATGTGACGTGAGTTTGATCCATATGAAAGTAAATTCTGTAATAACCCTGGACAGTAGTATACATAGTAAAATACAACATCAACAAAGCATGTGAATTTTCCTGAAGGCCAGACAACATACAGAAGGCATGTGGTTAGACTGATTAACTACTGTTGCCAAAATGGATCTATTGTCAGTGTTGTTCACTGTGTAAGAAGGTGCACGGTAAGTAGTTCTAGCACCTTTGAAGCAGTGGCAACTACTAGAAACATATTACACAGCTTTTCAGGTAGATCTACTAGACAGAATATATTAAAACAAGGGAAAAAAACTGAATTGCATTTCTGATCAAGACTTACCATCATCTGGTTTCTTCACAAATTTCACTCCCAGTTCTTCAAACCTCTTACAAGCTTTATGGACATCAGGGACAGCAATTCCAATGTGTCCTGTGCAACAAGATAAAAAGAGAGAAGTACACTGTAAGTATTGCTGGGTGTTCTAGGAAAAAGTTTGCTCAGTATTTCACCTTGTGCTAAATGTTTACATGCTGTAGTTCACACAGAGTATGATTGTATACAAGAAAAACGACACTTTCAGGAAGTCGGCTTTTTCATAATGCCTTTAAAATAGGAACTTCGGAGTTAAAATATTTCATATTATCTAGAGTAAGAAAAAGTAAGATTTTCAATCAAACTCTTACATGTATTTCCTTTCTGTAAGTATGTCAATATTTTGTTGCTTTTGCTCAGTTCAACAGTACAAGGAGTTTATCATTAATGCTGTCTTTGCAGAGACTAACACTAGTGCTGTGCAAGGCCTGAGCTTACAAATCAATTCAGAAGCTTTAAATGTCAAGTGGCTAGATTGAGCATGAATCTTATTTCACAAGCCAGTGACCTTTCAAGCACTCAAAATATCAAACCAAGCCACACAAATGCTATCCTCAGTGCTACAAACAGAACTCTCCTTCTAGCTTAAAATGGGTAACCAGTGGATTAGAAAATAGAAATCCAAATCGAAATCGGTCTAAACACCATGATAAGCTAATACACAAGAGCAATTACTGTTCCTCATTCAATGGTTACTATTAGCATGTGTTTGCTTGCCAGAGGATTAGATTCTTTATAAAAAGTGTCACTGCAGCACATTACTCTGAAAGACATTTATTTACCTATTTTCACAGTCTTTCCCAGCATACATGCTGGAAGAGATAAAAGGGAGAGATGGAAGTTCCCTTCTTTCCTACTGCTAGTACGTTTTCTTCACAGTAACCTACTAGAAAAGTCTTACCATCCATACAAGTTTAAAATATTTTCTCATTAAAAAAAAGGCCTACAGCATATACTTACCCAATAACCTTTTCACAGAATTTATATAGATGTTTTCTAAAAAAAAAAACATCTGAAGCTCCATTTTTCCCCAATACGTGAGAGAAAATATGTCATCACAATAAGGCAAAGCTTAAAAACTACAAACACAAAACTAAAGACTTACCAAATCCTCGGGGATCTGAATTGCCATTGTGATAAGACTGATTTTCATCATTTTCAGTGCCCCAGTTACTGTAAGAAGTAATTATTAGATACTGAAGAAAAGCATCAAAACTAACAAATCCTAAATGTTCAGTTTCCTCAAGAGGATAAGTTTTTTCTCCTAAGAAACCAGAGAATTTCAGCTGTTGGCTGCCTTCATTAAATTATCAAAATTTCCCCTCGTTCTGGGGATAGTCTGAGGGCTAATCCAGTCACGTTCACAGCCCTTCACTAGTATTCAGGTTCTGTATTTTAACAAGGCAGAGACACTTCTGTATCATTCAAATTAGAGAGAAGGTTGCACTGCATGAGTCAGTTTATCTACCCATCACCGGCAAACAGTGAGGGTAGCAGGTTCTGAAGTTAGGCAAGACAGTGGGGTATTTGGGAGATTCTTTCTGCATAATTACAAGTAGTAGCATTACCCAATTTGTCCTGTTTATGGGAATTGTATGTTTTGACTTAATACCTCTTTTGATTAGATTCCAAAAGCAACAGTTATCCATTATTAGGATGTTCTGGGGATCCAAAGAAAGTTCTAGCCACAATGGGTTTTCCTAAATTCTGTGGCTTCCTTACCTAGATGGCATGCATACTCAAAATATAGCAAGCATTATTTCATATTTATGTACTGCTGTTCACCTAGCAGTTTGAAAGTGTTCTGGAAAGAGATTAAGCTTGCCAAGTATCCAAGACCTCAGCCATACTGTAAGGCTGTATGTCAGTGAAGACGTTTCCACAGTAATTACATTTTTGATACAATCCAACAGGATTTACACTCTCACTGTTACCTAAATGTCATCTCTCATTAATACTTACTGTGTCAGTTCAAGTGTAGCTTTTCTAGAGAAGGTCCACGCTGTTCTCTCAGTTTTATCTTTTGGGATATCATTTTTATCTTCATATGCCAGGAAATACAGCGAGAACTTCATTGTAGGAAAGTCAAATTTTTGAAGCAGTCTAAATAGCAACAATTATTTTGAAATAGTAACTTTAAAAGGTAATCAGGTAGCTTGCAAATAATCCAAGACGCTCCCCCCATAGAAGAATTATTACTGTGATTTTCTGCCTTTCTCATTGTAATCCACATCTCAAAATAGATATGTTTTGAACTATCAAATAGAAACACTCCAGAACACATTACAAACCTACAAGAATTAGAAGAATCAGAGGCATAAAAAACAAACTATCAGAAACTGAATAGCAAAGCCAGTACAAAGGCTCACATCTTGAGGTTGCCACTCTGATCCTTGTATGTATTTCCTCAGGAAGATCTTCATGTTTACCCCCTTGAAAATACGACCAAGGAATAAAAAGATTTACTTCCAAACTTATTTGTTCTGGGGAGCTCACTGGCACCAAAGTTTAAGGACACAGCAGGATTAAAAAACAAACATACCTTCAGATAAAATATTTTTACAATTTCAATAGCTAGGTATAATGATAAATCCATTAATCAACTAAAAAACTACTTGAGGTATACATTTTTACGTAGGACTTTTAAACAAAACAAGTAGGTATGAAAAACAAATTAATTTATTTTTTAGCTTACCAGGTATTTAATTTTTATTTTCTCTCACCCACATCTTCACTAGAATGGAAGTAGCTTATTTTACTTTAATCTGGACTCACTTTAAGATGTTTAAAACTATGTTAGAATTTTTTTTTAAATAACTCATTTCAAATGTCAAGAATGTACAAAGAGCATTGGCATAAACATGTTCAGCTACTGCAGGGCACCTGCCTCCCAACAACCTTCTCCAAAAGGCTGAGTTTGGACCTTGCCTCCAGCTCCCACTGCCTTGGTCTCCTATGACCAACCAGAGGTGGTCATAAGCCACCTCCAAGAACTAGTAGAACACTTAATTTGAAGATCTATAGCAATGACTCCTGATTATAAGCACTGTTGTAACAGTTACTGGTTATCTGCAGGCTCAGTGAGGAGGAAGTAAGCAAGTTGTACACTGATAATGAGTGACCTATTTAAGAAAAAAAAAAATTTCTAATCAAGGCCAATATTAGTTCATTTGCAGCTCAGGCATTAACAGTGCTGTGGGAGTTCTCACAAATTGCCAGACTGTCCAACTGGGCATCAGCTGATGGGCCAGCATTGTTTATGTAGCTAGACCAATTAGTATAATTACATCAAAATAACAAAAACTTGAATACAATAGTAGGAAAACCCAAATTTATTGTGGTATACAACTTCTACTCACGTCATTCCAAGAATTCTCGTATAAAAATCCAGTGACTTCTTAGGATCCTTTACTCTTAACATTGTCTGCTGAAACAAAAAATCCTGGGGGAAAATAGGTTTATTACTTATACATCAACCAGAATTTAATTATGGGTGTTAATAAAGATGCCAGTTAATAAATCTAAAACTAGCAGGTTTAGAAGTAACAAACAGTGTAAATAAAACCTTTTCTCCTGATCCTGCATGTACACACTTTTGTTAAGCAAATATGCCTTTGTAATATAATGTTTAAAACAAATAAACAAAGCCACCACTGGTATCACTCAATATACGTTATCAGTGGTATCAAAAAAAGGGTATTCTTCTTATCTTTATTATTCTTTCACACAGCTGTACTGCACATGAACTACTTTGCTTGCAAGCACACCAAGCAAGTCATTATTTGGTATTGGGCCTCACTGCAGACAGAAAATTTAAATAAAGCTAAACTCATGAACTCATTATTTTAATTATTTCATTGTACAGACACTGAATTTCTGTCAAGCTTGACGATATCTTGGCAGCAAAACCAGCCTACAATTCTGTAAGGGTGTTTTTCCTCAAGCCACGGTGGCATTTTATACAGCAAGGGCTAAAGAGCGACTAAGTGGATGAAAAGTGAACGGTACGACAGCCTTGACAGATGTATTTAAAAAATAAAATCCTAACAATCATATGTAGAACAACCGAAATGCAATTACAGTGTTCTCCTAATAAAGAGTAAAAATGTTTGGGGTGTGTTGGGGGATTTTCGTTTTGCAGCCGTGGCCCGCACTAGCTGAGAGGCCCCGGGGCTCCGCTCACCCCGCGGCCGAGCGCTGAGCGGCCGCTCGCCCTCCTC